GAGCCAGCAGCTGCTACAGCATGAGTAAAAAGTGAGTTTGTTTGTTTCCCTATTGTTCAACTGAATTTGTTCATGATCTCATTGCTTAGAGGAGAACTGCTCCAGGCAGAGTCATGGAATGATTATAACAAATAAGTGTTGTTGCACGGTACTCTTCCGATTCAGTCTGGGGGTAAATTCTGCAGGACCGGGTACAGGGAATTTGGTCATCAGGTATCAAGGTTGTCAAGTGACTGAGGGAGATGAAGGTTGAAATTTACTGATGTTTTACAGGGGACGGAGAATCCCTGCTGGGCTGTGGCTGGAAGCATCTGGCTAATTGCATAGGAATTTACCCACTGTTGGAAGGTGAAACGGGGCTAACTGCAGTCATGCAGCTTTCTGTCTCCAAGTACTGGCTAAAAGGAAAGACAACATCCCAACATTAACTATTAAGCCTGCTCAGATGTTGCAATACTCAGATCAAAGGTCTACAGAGATCTGGAACATCTATTCAGGGCTGGAGCATCCATCATACGTTCATATATACAAATGACAGCTCACGTTAAGTGAAAAAGAACCGTACAGTGTATGAAAATTTCAAAGCAGCTATAAATCCAACGTTACATGGAAAACAATGGTGCTTCCTCGTATTGAAAATCTTTCCTTCCTTTGTTGTGAGTCAAAAGTTTAGCAAATCTGATTTATTCGCAAAAGCTGGAGTGGATAAAAAAAAAGCAAGCTGGGAGTAGCTAACAATAGTGACGCATAGGGGATTGTGCTGCTCCCAATGTTAAACATATGAGATAATATCAACATCAACATTGTCGCAGGAAACTCCGGATCAGGCTCCTGGCCAATTAAGTTACAGAAAAGCAAGGCACCAGGATTGCACTTGAAAAATTGAGGGTTATCATGAAAAATGGTTAACGGAGGGAGGGAGGGAGAAGAAAAAATAGCGCTGTGTTCACCTTTTCGGAGTCTTAATTCAGCCCATAACAAACCTTCATGGGTTATATCCTATAGATACATAATAATAATGAGGCAGGTCCTCAGCCTGCGAAGTCTTACAGCTCCATCTGAGTTTTCTGGAACTACATGTGTTTCTTGAGGCTGAAGTTGAGGCCCTAACCAGAGGTGTCTACTTTGCTGTCCATCTGCAAGTATGCACAAAGACAGTGGGGCGTCAGATCACCGTGTGCTGAAGCCAAACAGCACTGTACTGTGTATTTAAGCATAACAGGGTGTTAGTTCTTAGTAGTGGCTTTTAGCTAGTACTGCAAAACAGTTACATTTGTAATGTATCAGGTGAGAGGAACATCAGGACACTGATTGGGGTGGGTGTGTATGTGTTTTTTTATAAAGCAATGCTGAACAAAAATGAAGTTCTATGTGAAAAGTATTTTTGAATAACATTGAACAGCTCCGAATAAAACACTTCAAAACAGATTGGCTGCCTAGGGATTGTCTCCTTGCTTAATTCCACTTTAACTATATTAAACAAGGAACTACAACCATTCAAAAACAACCTAAATGTTTCAACACATCCTTTATCGCAGCAAACATGCTGTTTTCCTTTTTCACTCAGAAATTATTGATCTATTTTTATTCATGCTTTTGAAAAAAAAAACCAAAAAAAACAAGCCTATCTTGCCTGTAGACTGAAAGGCAAAATTCTGGGGAGTCTACGGGCAAAACACTGGCTGGAATGGAAATGGCTTGTCCGGTTTTACGGCAGGCGGGCGTCCCTGGGCACCCTGCCCCTGGCAGCGGGACACAGCCTAGCGCTGCTCCCTCCTGGGGCACAGCTTGGCCTTAGAAAACGAGAGCCGTTTATGTTCTTTGGCAGATTCCAGAGGAGAAGAGGTCGCAGGCTACTCCCATCTCCCATGTGGATCGCTGACATCTGCAGAGTCTAAACTTTGCTCACAAACACCAGCCAAGCCCCTGAAAGAAAAACGCCCGGAGATGAGCGACGCTCCAGGGGAAGCTGTGCTGGGCACTGCGAATGGTGAGTGCTGTGTTGGAAGGTGCTTCCCGTTGGTGCTGAGCCACCAAAGAATGTGTGTGGCTATTTAGCCAGCTCTGGGCCCGTAAAATAATCCCACTGATTTATTGGGCTCTTGTGGAAAGTTCAGAAGTTTGAAGTACAGTATGTGTGTATACATGTGGTCCTCTGTGGCCAGGACCGCTTAACTTCAGAACAACATCCATCTCTTCCAGAGTGATCTCTTTTAGCAGTATTTCTAGTTGGCTGGCCCTTCTCCCCTCCCCCCAAAAAAACTTACACCCACTTCCAGTATCGCGCTGGCATGAAAACTTAGAACACCCCACAGTTCAGATGTCCGTCGTTAACAGCCAGAACACCTCCTCCTTATCTAAAATTTATATCCCCTCTTCATCTAAAATCACAGTAATTAGTCGCAGTGCCCATGCTGGAAGCGGAAACCCCAGGGAAATTCAGAACTGGAACAGCCTACCTTCATTTCCCAAGGCATACATTTGGTTAATTGGGGGAGGGTAGATGCTCGGGGGTGGGGGGCACATTTTTAAGTGCTTTCGAGAGAAGTTGTAAGCCGGGACGGGCCCGGCGGGGGGAGCCGGGGGCTGCGCATCGCTCCGGCCTGGGCGGCTGAAGGAGTCGCAGAGAAACGTGCCGGGGTGCCCGCAGACCGGGAAAACCTCCGGTAACCCCCCTTCACCACCGCCCGGCGGCACCTGGCAACCGAAACGCGCCTTTGCCCCCCGCAGCGGGGAGGAAGCGGTTTCGGGGAAGCCTCCTCTCCCCACGCCGACCCCCGGCTCGGCGCCCCCCCACCGCCGCGCCGTCCCCGCCTGCCGCCGCGCCCGGACCGGCGGCGGGGGCGGCCCTGCGAGGCGGCTCCCCCCCCCAA